AATACATGTATATTTGGCTAATATACCACCTTGGACACACATTTGAGAATAATATTCCTTATGATTATAAAAGTAACTCACATTTGTTAACTCAGGTTTTTTGCCTGCATGAATATGTTTAAAAACATAGAAATGAATAAAAAACTTAAAATTTACCTGTAACACTATTGATTTACTCTGCAGTAACATGGTAGTTTATATGTAAGTTTACAGTGTTTATCTACATGAATATTGTAAATATTTAATAGGAAAACTCATAAGGTGGATAAAGGTATATGGAAGAGAGCAATGAATTTTAATATCTATCCCAAACATTAGTATAGTGTGTAATCATTTTTCTCCATAAAATTCTGCAAAGTTAAAGGTATACAACATGGTCAATACAAACCTTGTGCACAGAATTAACTATGTATCAGATAATGGGAAATCAGGAATTGGTCTTTAGTGCTCACTATACATCAGGAAGAGTGCCAAACATCTTATAAACACTACCTCATTTATATGTGGTGTTTCCCGTTGAAAATAAAGTTTTCTCACTTTCTGTTCATGAAACATGGAAAAGATGATGTAGTTTCTTTCTAGTTTTTGTAACAGAAAATGATGGGTTATATTTAGAAAGAACTAAATTCATTGTCACAATCTTGCAGCTGTTGCTGTCGCCTGGAGCTGCCCACTGCAAGTGCCAGTTAACTGGACCAATGCTTTTCATCCTCATTGTCAATCATGAGCCCTGAGGCTGACTCTCTTTTGAGCTGTTTGTACACACAGCTTCAAAAACAGCAGGGGGCATTTATACTGTGAGCCCCAAAGAGAGGGGATTTGGCTTGAAGATCCCCTGGCTGCTTGGAAGTACTGCAGGATACAAGTCTAGGCATTCAGGAGGCTGAGGCAGGACTATCACCAGTTAAATGAGATAAATAACATGATCCCGTGTCTCTGAAAACAAAATAAAAGCAAGAATTCCCCCAAAGAAGTATTTCAGACCCTTATGTACCAAGATGGTGACTCTGAGGCCGAACAACACTAGAACAGGTCCTCTCCATCCAGGGGGAGGATGAGGAACACTTGACAAGAGCTTCATCCCAAAGTCTGCATTCTCTATCTCCTTGTCCAGAGAAAATGCTAAAAGACCGCAAGTGACTTTCTGTCTTCATCTGTGATGTCGAGACTGAATGGCTGCATGGCAGACACTCGGCCTTTTAGCTGAAGAAGCTATGAGTAGGATGGAAGCCATGGAGCTCTTTGGGCTCAGGGATGGACAAGCCAGTGAGGAAATCACCCTTGTGACCACAGCAAACTTTAACACATCTGATTTTTCTATCTCACTTGCAGGACCAGCCCTTCTGTAGCTCAGCGATATGCTCTTCCATCCCAGCTACTTGCCACTCCCTGCAACCCCTGTACTTCTACTTTAGTTGCTCTTCGAGTCCCTCAAGCTCCTTAAGTTTAGTTGTATTATAAAGTTAAGCTAATGATTATTCAATAAAAACACTGAAAAGTAATCACTAAGTTTACTGTTCACTCAATGCAAAATGTCTAGCAGTCTGTTTTTCCCTTGATTTTTGAACATGCATCTATAGCCTTAGCGAGTGATCAATTTTATGTTCTGTTGGTTATTTTTGTTTGTTTTTTATAGGAATGTGGTACAATTTGTGTTTAAGTAGAATGTACTCTGTGTTGCCTCACAGAGATTGTGTGGGGCATGCCGTCGCTGACTGCTGAAGCATCGTTCCCTTCTGCTGACCTGTGGGTAATAGAAGATGCCTCCGGAAGACATTTCTCTGAAGTCATAATCGGATATGCTATGGACTTTTATCACGGGCCATGCTGATGCAAAGTGGCATGGGATTTACTGCAGTTACAGGAAATGCAAATTTGATCTGGTGTGACAAGTTGAAAGCCCTGTTCAGCTGCCCGAATTAGAGAAGTAGTTCACTATTTTGAGCATTGTTTAGAGTCACTGCTTTCTTGGGCAGGGTAGGTTAAGTGCCTGCAGCCATACTGCTGCTCCTCTGTGTAACTGTCATGCTTATATTCTTATTCAAAAGAATTATGACACAAATGCCATGTCTTCCTGAGGCTAGCACATCTAAATGGTGGGACATTCCTTTGTATGAGCCCTTATCTTAAGGTTAACTTGCACCCAAGAGCAAGGTAGGCACTTAGGGTTGAGTTGTTGTCTAACACCGGACCTTTCTCCACGATTATGATTTCTCTGATCCTTTTAGGGAGCTCTACCATAGAGTGATGTTTAAGAATAATCAGCCCGTAGAATGTTTGCTTTCCAGTTGGCAGTGCTAGAGTTGATATTTTGGACAAGAAACATAATGTATCTAAGCCTCACTTTTCCTGCTGGTTATGAAAAGGGAAATGATAATAACCTCATTAGATTAAGATTATATGGCTGAAGTCAATGCATTTGAAGCTTTTATTTAGCATGACATATTACTCAAAGGCTGGACCTTTGATAAAACTGTGGGGTGAGTTAGCCAGACATGTAGGAGAAACACACAAACCAGTGAAACATGACACATGCCCAAGACCACATACTTGCAGAACTGAAGTCAGAGCAATCATTCTTACTTCGGGGTTTTAGATAACAGAGTGCTTTGCTTGCTTAATTAGGCACACATGTGTACACACAGCAGTTTACTCTGAAATGTGATGTTTGGACGCAAATACAATTGTTGGGCATGCACATTGCATCATGCATAAAAGCAAGAAAGCAGAACCATAAAAAAGGGTGCACCTACACAACTGCACAGTTTGTTGTGCATGCCTAGCAGCAACACACCTGAGCTCCTGCAAGTGTGCACCTACATTAGAATACGCACCCTCTCAAAGGAAACTTTATACTCTTCATCCATAGCTTGCTACAGTTAGGACTTTGTCAAAACCCAAGCGTTTGCTCAGAAACTATTGTGCTCAAAAACAAACAAACAAACAAATAAATAAAGATACCTGACCTACAACATCTATTAATGTTAGTGAACATGTTGCAAGAAGTGACCTTAGCACAGAGCCTGGTGCTATGAATAGCTGGTAGATTCTTTAGACCTCTATGGTCATTGGCCCTGTCTCTATCTGTTTCTGTTCACTAAAACTGGGTTCCGCAGAAGAGGGGTACAAAGCACAGTTCTAGAACCTGAAGGCACGAAGACTAACGGGAAAGTTACAAGGAAACAAGTGCAAGCACAGTGACAGGAACGAGATGTAGCACCAATTCCTCACATGAAACTCTACAGTAGCCAGCAGCTGTTTGAAAGGATCCAGTGCTCGGGGGATATTTAAGAGACAATGCATCATGTTCAAAGGGCACGGGACATCTAGTCACTTTGTATAGGTGTACCTGACGTTAACACACCTGCCTTTGCTTTTACTTTAGGCTAAATTTCATTCCCCCAATCCTTTGTGGCTGGTATAGCCCTGCCATTGAGGTTCTTACTGTCATAGTTCCTAGAGTCATGTTCCACTCTGAAATAGGGGTTTAGTGTTTGGGTTCATCAAACCTAGTGCAGATGTCTTTGAAGGTCACCTGTGTCCACAAAGAAGGCTGCTGCTACATACTCCCAAACACTGAGTCTATTTGAAACAGTTATAGGAACTCCATAAATGTCACTTGATACTGTCATCATTAAAGGTGACACATGGAGCATCTTTTATGTGCCTATAAATGTGTTATGTAGAACATACACAAAGGTGAACTCAACAAAGCAAACTTTGCATTTGTGGAGCTTGGGAGGTGGGAGGAAATGAATTCTGAGAATAAATTTAGGTTTGTAAGGTAAAGCAGCAAATGTTGGGCCTAGATGAATGGCTCTCAGGAATGGTGAGGACAGGCCCTGTCTGTCTGTGTAACTGTTGTTCTAGGGCTCTGGGAAGAGCACAAAGGCACTTGATTCCTGTCAACTGAGTAAAGAAAGCACTTATGAGAGGGGCCCAATTAAATTGGGGAACTGTTTATTCCAGATTTAGGCAGTGAGAACAGGTGAGATGTGAACTCTATGGTTGGTAGATTCTACTTTGTGTGGCAACACCTGGGTCAGAATCTATGTGGGTAGGTGTGCAGAAAGCACGTGTGGATGTTCAGGTCAAGTATCTGGATATAGGTAAAATGGAAGGCAAAACCTTTGTCTGTCCAGTTTTATGGTAAATCTAGGCTTGTGTGTGAACATAAGTAGGAGATTCTGAGACCTCTCTATGTGAGGTATAAGCCTGGAGTTTGTGTGATGGACAAGATATTAATTGCAAACATTTTGTAAGACAAAATGTGAGACTGTATGCTTGCCTGTGATTCGGTGTAATTGTGTATGAGGCAAATTAAAATTGGGTAAAAAGTGAGGACTGAGATGTGAGATAATTACAGACATTTTGTGATTACTGGTGGAGTTAGAGGATTTTCCTCACGCCCTGGCACGTGTTTGAATATGCATGTATATTTGTGCATGTGCCTGAGTTGAAGGTTTACGTGTAATCCAGTTCTGGAACTCTTCGGGTGAAGGTGAAGGTTTGCAAGGCAATTCTGGAACTGTGTGTAATTTTGAGATTGGATGATGCAGTCTGGGCAGTGTGTAGGACCAAGAGTCAGTGGTAAGTTTGTATAGTTAACTTCTAGATACAAACATCTTGGGCAATTTGTTTTGTGTCTACAAGAGGATCAAAAGTGTGTGTGTGTGTGTGTGTGTGTGTGTGTATGTGTGTGTGTGTGTCACAAGGAGGCACACAGAGTTTGTGTGCCCATGTAACCTTGCTTTTCAGCCTGAATTATTTCTAAGACATCTGAATTGTATCTAAGTGTGAATCGAGTCCAGACAGCCAGCATGACCCGGGAGCGTGTGTCCACGTCCATGCGTGTGTGCGCGCGCGCGACAAGTTTGGATTTGGACCTGGGACCAGAGCCGAGGCCGCATTAGGGCCGCGGAGTAGGGGGGTGGCCGAGGAGGTGCGGCTGGAGCCGGCAGGCGGTCCTGGGGCTACCAGGGCTGGGGTTTGGGCTAGCTAGCTTGGCTGGTTGGGGACAGGCAGGAACCGGAGCAGCACTGCCGCCTCTGGCGCAAAGGCTCTGGCGCCTCCTCCCGCCCCACCACTGTGACTCTGAGCACGCTGCCGGCCGCTGCTCTTTCCAGCCTCTGAAGAAGAAAGCCGGTGAGCCGCTGTCTGTCGCTTGAACCATGGCTTCGGGCCGAAGGGGCTGGGACAGCTCCCACGAGGACGATCTGCCTGTGTATTTGGCCCGGCCGGGCACCACAGATCAGGTCCCACGGCAGAAGTACGGAGGCATGTTCTGCAACGTGGAGGGCGCCTTCGAGAGCAAGACATTGGATTTCGATGCCCTGAGCGTGGGACAGCGCGGCGCCAAGACTCCCCGGAGCAGCCAGGGCAGTGGCCGCGGCGCGGGGAGCCGGCCAGGGGTGGAGGGGGACGCGCGCAGAGGCCAGGGTCGGGAGGAAAGCAAGGAGCCCGAGCCTGAGTCGCCCAAGTCCGCTGGAGTGGAGATCCGGAGCGCCACCGGCAAGGAGGTCCTGCAAAACCTCGGTCCCAAGGACAAGGTAAGGGAACACTAGCTCTTCTCGTCCCATTCCCCAGCCTCAGTCTCCCAGGCCCGGGCACAACTTTCTTGCTCACACTTTACAAGGAGATGGGTCACTAAGCAGAGAAAAAGGGCATCCTCCGGGGGCTCAGGTTTCTCACTTGTGTCCAATTGTCTCATCTTCCTGTGTTCACTGCAAGGGTCTCAGGAGGCCTGGGTCATCGCCACAGCCACCCAGCTGCTCCCCTGGTCGATTAGTTCTGGGTGGGTGTGTCAACCCTACCAGTTTGGGAACACTTAGCGATTCCCAGACTCTCTCTCCCCCTAAGTACCAACAGCACAATTGTGTTGATCCCCCTTGGCCCCAGATTAAGACAACCCAGGTCACCAGGGCAGAGGGCAGACTGATGCTAAGGAAATGGGGTCATCTCTATAGAGTTTGGGTTAAAACACAGAATGAGCGGTTTCTTCTCTGACTTCTAAAACTTTTGGGTGTGGGGCCACAAAACACCCGAATCTTCGTGCCTCACTCCTGTGGTAGCATGACGTTTCACATCTGTGTTTATGAAAAGTATATTTGTGTACATAGCTTGGCACAAGCCTGGGTCTCAGGGGATGCAGCTGTCTCTGTAAAAAAATATTACATATTTGAAAATAGGCGGGGGTATTAAGAGTGCATATTAAACTAGCACGAACTCTGGGCTCCCTGCCGCTCTTACATGTGTCAAAGCTGATTTCTTCTCTGTGTGTTTTAGAGAAACTCATGCCGTACTCAACTGTCTGAGATTACTATGATGACTTATGTGTTTATTTCATAGAAAGTCAGGGGTATGATTCAGAAAATTCAAGGAAGGCCCGGAGGTCTGGAGGAATCAAAGTTCAAATCGTAGGGTTTGAGGTGGGGAACAGTAGTAACCATATGCCCTCACCCCAGGCTAGGTAATGGCTGCTCCCCCTACCCCTGCCCCCACGCATTATTCGTCACTAATGCCATCATGAATAATATCCTGCGATGGAAAGGTCTGCTTCACAGTGATTACCGTTAATACTCATCCTGCTCTGAGCTGTTTTTCCATTAAAATGCAATGAGGTAGAGAAAGGACAGCTTATCTCACTGCTTCGATTTTTGGTAGGTTTTTTTTTTTAAACAAACTTTTAAGTACTGTTACCAATCAGAGAAAGCAAGACCGGAAGTCAGTGCTTTGTAGAGGGCCCTTTGTAAGGCAATGCCAGTATCCCTTGGAATTACTCATCTACTTCATGATTTTCACGACATCCTCCTTTGAATATGAGACTCGTGTAGGCCCAGCCCACTAGCCCTTTTAGGGAGAGTGTCTGGTATTTTAGAAAGGTTTTGGCAGATTGCTCAACTGACGAATAGCTCTTTATAGAAAGGTAATTGCTTCTCTACATGTCTAACTTCATCACTCTTAAAATGCCCCTTTCCTGGCATGAAGAGAGGGAGGCAGGAGGGTATGGAAAAGGTCAGAAACAATCGCTGTGAGTCAGTATGTTCCCCCTTGTTGGAACACCCCTGATGTAAGCCAGATAATATGCTTGGTTTGCAAGACTGGAACATGGTAACTAGAGAAAGGGAAAATGTTCTTCCTTTAAACCCAGCAATTCTCTCATTTTGTTCCCTTTTACAAACTCTATACTTTTGGCTCTTAGTTGAAAAATAATAATATGACTTAGACATCAGCAGGGTTTCTAGAGCTACATGGGTTTTTAAGTTCAGGCTTGCTGTCTGCTTCATGAAGGCCATGTTATTATCTCTAATTTTCTTTAATCACGCTGTTTAAAAAGAAAAGACACAAAGGTTATCTAGCTCTGTACTTGAGGCTTGTTCCCTTGAGGCCAGGGACTGTGTGTTTGGATTTATCTCTGTGATTGGGATGCCTGGCATATTGGAGGTGTTTGGGACATGTTTGATATTAAAGCTCCTTATTTAAAACATCTGTTTTGCTAGGCTGATGCAAAGTGACATCTGCACTGGCCTAAACATTGCTGTCATCACCGGGGAGCCCACTCAGATTAGAAAGTTAACCAATATGCCTACCTATATAGTTTCTGCAGGTTCTTCTTAGTTCTCATCTTAGAAGAATAAGCATCTCCTCATTTAGCAGCATTTAAAAGATTTTAAGTATGTGGTTTTGGTTATCATGCCTGTCTGGGAAAAAAAAACTGGAATAATAAAGGTAATGTCACAGCAACAAGCCCTAAACCTCAATGTATCAACAGAACAAGAGCAACCAGCTTTCTTTTTCTTTCTTTCTTTCTTTCTTTCTTTCTTTCTTTCTTTCTTTCTTTCTTTCTCTCTCTCTCTCTCTCTCTCTCTCTCTCTCTCTCTCTCTCTCTCTCTCTCTCTCTTTCTTTCTTTCTTTCTTTCTTTGTACCTGTCTGTTGTATACAAGGGTCACAAGGGGAGTTCTGTTCTTGATTGTCCTTCAGAGATCACCTGCACGCATCAGCAGTAGAAAGAGTCTACAGCTAGCTGCACACAGACACGGAAACTTTCTTGCAAAAGTAATAAATGTCATGGAAGCTCAGCTTTCATTGGTTAAAGCAGATACATGACTTTAGAGGAACTAGGGGGAATACACGATTACCACAATTCTGTAAGGCTAGAAATCATTTATAAACAGCTCTATCTGTCCAAGAACCAGGGATGGAATATGGAGAGGTGAGAGTGGGGGAGTTGGCCTCATCTTCTTGACAATAATCTAACTTAAGCCTGTAGTTAAGTCTCCTTGTGCCCTTGGATTCTCATTTGTTTATAATAAGAATTTAGCATATATTCAACTTCATTTTGCTTTATATGCTTGAGAGCAGTCTCTCTGTCTTTCTGTGTCTCTGTGTGCACACGCGCACACACACACACACACAAGCACAAACACACGAATGTCTATCTAGCTGTCTGCCTCTGCCTCTCTGCCCCTCTGCCCCTCTGCCCCTCTGCCTCTGCCTCTCCCTCAGCCTTTCTCTAAGGTCTTACTCTGTAGCCCAAGGTAATTAGAAATTCACTTTGTATCAGTGTCCTTAAACTTGTGATGACCTTCCTGCCTCTGCCTACTGAGTGCTTGGACTTGAGCAGCTTGCCTTTATTGGGCTTGTTATCCATCGCTTCCTTACCTTCCTCCTGTCAGGGCATTCCACTGTTGTGTTCTTTCTCGGGCTATGCTGTGTTGCATAAATTTCCTTCTGTAAAGACGGTGCCCTGGCTTGTGAGCTGACCCTGGGCCTCCAGATGGGATGCAGCCATGGCAGAGTGCATTAGGCTGCTTAACTCTCCGGATTTACATGCCGCATATGCTTGTGTTGTTGATAACAGCTAATGACTAAGTATCTGCGTCTTACTGTCTTCATAGTCAGCTTCCTTGTTACTCAAGCTTCTGGAACCTCTTAGCTTCTGTCACACAGGGATGGCCCTTGCCATGCTGGTTCCCATGAATTTAAAAAGTAAAACTTATTGAATTTTATTTTCTTTCTTGTAGATTCACCATTATCATAGCTCCATCCTGTACTGTTGAAGCTGTAGTCTATGGCACAGCCCTACCAGATTTATATCGTCTACATCCTTGTTAGCAAGCACCAACTTCTAGGCTCTCTCCCATATAATACACGTGCTTATTATGCCAACAAATTTTTGCACATATAAGGAAGTTGAAACAGACACCAAATAATCCCAAATCACACAAATGATAAGTAGATAGTAGCAGAATCCAAACGCAGACTTTTGTAGCCAGCGCTTTTTGTAGACAGTGAGTGGGATTATTATTCTAATCCCAGTAGTCTGAGCATTTTGGCAGCTCCTGGCATGCTTAGATAATAGCAAGCAAGGACAGATATTCCACCAACACCACTAGAAAACTGCTTCTCAGCCACTTGCTCAATATTCAGAGAAGCTGGAGATGAGTCATTCTACCCATGAGGACAGTTGATGCAAAGCCATTGTTGTTCAAGTCAATCTAAATCTACTAAGAAATTATTGAGAAGTGTTCTGATTAAAAAAATCAAGATACCTTTGTTTCTCTGGCAAACTTATCATCACACCCTTCTTAAGGGAATGAGTGTATTTAGGAAATTATGAACAGGTTAATTAAGCACACATGAATGGCAGAATAAAAATGTAAAAAGCTTTCTGCATTATACAGGGCAGGGCCAATTCTTGGTTTTCAAACATCACATGAGCTAACTTTGTGATTCTAGACCTATGTATGTATGTGGTCATCTTAACAATGTGCTTAAACTTTTCTCATGATACTCATACTGCCTAAGTCTTCCAAGGTTGGCTCACACTTGTAACACGACAGTAAGAGCATAGGAAAGGAATTGTAAGTAAAAAATGTATATTTTAATCATTTCTTAAGAAGATTTTCTGCCAAAGTGTAATTTTCAAAGCAACAAGAAAATTACCAAGAGGAGAAGAAATATGACATGGTGTGTACAAGAACAAATAATACCTCAAAGGCTTTGTCATCCAGGACAACAAAGCCATGACACTTTGATTACATGGGTTTGCTGCTGACTCCATTCTAGGACCTTGGCTCATTGCTAGTTCCCTGCTTCCCATATGAGGTTCTTCAGCACAAGATGTTTCCCCAAGGATCTGAGGGTAGAAAAGAGAATTTGAACAAAGTAAGATATGTAGACCCTTACTTTTTTTGTCCTGAGTTTCAAGAGTTCAGATATGGTTTGTATTTCTTTCCTTGCTCTGCAAAAAAGATGGCCGTTAGAAATAGAAGTCCAGGTATATAAAGGCCCCTGGCTGTCAGAGCCCAAGCCCAGGAGTGTAAATGAATTATAGGAGAGTACTCTAACACAAGAGAGGATTATGTCACCTAGAGAAAAGAGATCTTGCTTTCCCAACTCAGGATAGCCTTAATTCCAGTGTTCCTGCATCAGAACCTGAAGTGTTTGAAAACTCTCAGCCCTTTTGGAAGTTTGGCAGTGGGTTTTAAGGAACATACAAAAACACGTCTTCTAAGTAATGCTGTGGTTGGCAGGGTTCCCTCAAAC